ACAGCCCCCCTGCAGCACAGCCCCCCAGCAGCACAGCCCCCCCTGCCCTGGCTGTGGGGCCGGCGCTGAGAGCACAGCCCCCAGCCTCAGGAAGGTGATTTTGGTGCAATTTGGGGTGGAATCTCATCCAGACTCAGCACCCAGGGTCTTGCTGACACCAGCACGTACTCCACTAAACTTCTAGCCAAGAGGAAAGTTAAGGAGTGCCTCCCATTTCCAGAGCTAAAACCCAACTGCCAAAACCCACTTTTGTCTTACCTGAGGGTCCCCAAAATAGATCTGCATGATCAAGGCCACCGTGACTCCCATGGCGAAGGTGAGGCAGGCAGTGATGATGACCGTCAGCCCATCCTGCCAGCAGCTGCAGTCCCCAGAGAAAGGGTCCTTGCTGGTCTCCCGGAGAGGGGACACATCCTGGCTGCCCATCTCGGAGGAGGACGAGGGCAGGCGCTGGAGACGCGCAGACTTCAGGAAGGAGTCTGGGTCTTTGTGGGCAGCAGGGAGAAAACAGGTGTTAGTTATTGAGCAACATGGGGCTCTTGTTGCAGTGTTTACCCAGCACTAACATTATACCCTGACCCTTCCCTTCCCCATTGATCCCAGCTCTCAAGGGACTTTCTAGCTCTGATGCTGTTTTAGGTCATTTTACTGATCCCTTCCTTTAGCTTTAGTTTTTCCAGACTGACTTCCCTGGAGATTAAGAGGGGCTAAAACCCCTTGGATTTTTCTCCATTTCAGTACATTAATCAGTCTTCAGTGACAGGCCCAACTACTGCTTGGTTTGGATGGGTCCTTAAGTCAGTACTGACTAACAAACAGGTCTCTGAGATGCAGCAGGACTGAAGAAGAAGATGTGAAGATCACGAGACCACAGAATGTCAGGGGCTGGAAGGGACCTCTGAAGATCATTGAGTCCAATCCCTCTGCCAGAGCAGGACCAAAACTAGGGCAGGTCATTCAGAAAGGCATCCAGACAGGTCTTGAAAGTCTCCAGAGAAGGAGACTCCACAGCCTCTCTGGGCAGCCTGTCCCAGGGCTCTGTCACCCTCACAGGAAAGAAGTTCTTCCTCATGTTGAGGTGGAACTTCCTGGGCTCCAGTTTGAATCCATTGCCCCTCGTCCTGTCCCAGGGCACAAGTGACAAGAGCTTGTCCTGCCTTCTTGCTGCCCTCATGTATTGATAGACACTCATTAGATCCCCCCTCAGCCTTCCCCTCTCTAGACTGAGCAGCCCCAGGTCTCTCAGCCTTTCCTCATCAGGCAGGTGTTCCAGTCCCTTCATCATCCTCGTGGCCCCCCTTGGACTCTCTCCAGTAGATCCCTGTCCCTCTTGAACTGGGGAGCCCAGAACCAGACAACAGATATTAAGATAAAATGATATTAAATAGATATCAAACTAAAAAGATATACTTTTTTTAACCCAGCAGCTTTCTTTGGAGCTATGCTTGCACTACAGCACCTCAGCAAGATAGAAGCAAAGCAAAACGTGTGGCCTGGGCACAGGAAATTCCTCTACAGAAGCATGGCAAAGCGGGGGCAGAGAGGAGCAAACCTGCAAACCAAGGGCCTCTGGGCATCCACCTGCTCAGCTTTCATTTCTTGCTTCCTCCAGCTGATGAAGGGCCCTGTGAACTCGAGCTGCTCACTGGACACCCAGCTCTGGGATGGCAAGACAACGGAGCAGGGCTTTGCCAGGCATCCACCAGACAGCAAACAATGCTCAGCAGGATGAAGAAGTTTTTCTTGCTCTGAAAGATGCCTCGGATCTCTGCCTGCACCAGTTGCTGCCTGTGTGGCAGAGCGTGCCCTGAAGTGACACTGCTGGGCATCCAGAGCTGCTGGGGCAGCCATGGGGACATGCTTGTCCCTGCAGACCACTGAACAGGACCAAGAGGCTCAGGGCATCAGCCAGGTTTCCTGGATTAATTCTGGGGAGGCTGCAGTGCCCCATGCATCTACGGTAGGAAGAAGAGGAGCACTGAGTGAAAAAGATGAGTTTTTCCCTCCACTCAGGGGATGTTTCCCAGGTTTGGGGTAAGGGACAAAGGAGAAGGAAACCCCACGTCTGTGGGGCTGGGCCTCTCCTTCTGCCCTGGCAGGCAGCACCTCCCTGGGAACTGCCAATCCTATCCCTGATGGGAATTAATGCCCTCCTGGGTGCAGCTCCAGCTCTCCTGGGGTCAGATGGGGAGTTTTAATGTACAGAATCACACAGAATCAGAGAGTGTTTGGGGTTGGAAGAGACCTCTGCAGATCATCTAGTCCACCCCCCCTCTAGGGCAGGATCACCTACAGCAGATCCCACAGGATCATGTCCAGGTGGGCTTTCAGTGTTTCCGGAGATGGGGACTCCACAGCCTCTCTGGGCAGCCTGTCCCAGGGTTCCATTACCCTCACAGGGAAGAAGTTTGTGTTCCAGTTTGTGCCCACTGCCCCTTGTCCTGTCACTGGACACTGCAGAAAAGAGTCTGGTCCCATCCTCCTGACACCCACCCTTGTGATATTTACAAGCATTGATGAAACCCCCCCCTCCAGTCTCTTTTTCTCCGGGCTGACCAGCCCCAGCTCTCTCAGCCCTTCCTCATATGGTGATTTCAGCAATGCTGCAGCCAGGACTAAACCCCCCTTAGGGTGATCTTCATCCCCTTTGTGCTGTCGTGCTCCTAAGCACGACTGGGACAGGCTCTGGTTTCCCAGCCTGCACCTCTGAGCCCCCCACTGCAGTGAGCTGGGCCTGCACTGCGTGGGCAGAGGACTGGCTGGGGGCTATGGGGCAGGGTGGCTCCAGTGGGGACCACCACTGGCCAGGCTGGGGATGCCACTGGGGAGGGAAACAGCCCTTGGCACCCCACAGCAGGGGACCAGCCCCACCAGTGGAGAAACAGCAAGGAGTGAGCTGGGACCCTCTGCCTAAGCCCTCCAGGACACTGCCCCTCTGTGCTGCTCCTGCAGCACTGGTGACAGGGCAGCCCAGCACAAGGGAACATGAACATCCAGGGAGCAACCACAGCAGAGGACAGGCCACAGACTTCCAGGGTGGCCTCTCCCACCAGGCAGGAGTCCCTTCGTTCTCGGTAACAATGTCCCACACAGCCCTGGGAAAGTCACTTGTCTCTGTGACCTCAGTGCTGTGTGGGGATAGCAGGGCTGTGGTTTGGGAATGGGGTGAGTACAAGGAGCAGCCTGCGAGGCCAACACACAGCTGCCTGTCCCATCACCAACATCCGTGCTTGAAAGAGAAGCCACCAAACCGTGTGGGGGTGTGAAGGAGACTTTGCTTCCTAGGGGAACCAGCGCTTTGGGGAGCCAGGGCTCAGCTCTGGAGGGGACAGCAGGGACCAGAGATCCCGCGGGCTCCGGCAGCTGCTGCCGTGGGGGACCCTTCAGTGCTCTGGGGTCTGTCCCCAGCACTGACCGCACAACGGGGGCTTCCTCCTTTTAACGACACGTTCTGGGCGGGAGGAGCCGAAGGTCTGGGCTCCCTCTGCCAGCCTGGCAGGTAACGCGGCACTGAGAAGCACAGATGCCTTTGGCAACACCCTCTGCGGTGTCAGATGAGCCCAAGTTTCCAGGTGGCCCGAGAGCAGCAGCTCCTGCAGCCCCAGC